ATCACCAGAGGTTTTTCTAGCAAGACTGATTAACGTGTGTGCGTGGTGCTGTACTGAAGTCTGGATTAACACGAGGATGTGTGTTCTAGGAACAAAACCTGAACAAGCCAACTGCAGCGCAGGGAATGCTGCAAGCTCATTCCTGATGGAAACCAGGAGAAAAGGGTGAGGAGTTGGGATGAACTAGGCTTTGGGATGTCCCCTGCTCCCCTGGTGTGGATGAGCTCTGACCTGGGCGCTGCCCTGAGCTGCATTTGCTCTGCTCAACCCACAGCCAGGAGAAATGCACGAGGTAAAAAGCGCTTGTCGCAACAAATAAAGCCTGAAATACGTCTTTGGAAAGTCTTTTTGATTCTAATTGGCATTTCTGAGGCTGTTGCTGGAGGAATGCAGAGGACCAGGCTAAGAGCAGAGCGAGTCCCTGGGAGCTTTCCTCTCCCTCTCCTCCAGCTTTTGCTGCATCCATCCTCAGAGGACCCGGAGAGGGGCTGACCACGAGTCAGGCTGCCAGGATTGCTCTGCAGCCTCCAGCGGGGCACTTGGGAGGTGGCATCTTTAGACCTGGTTGCTAACCTGTGTCACTCACCACCAAAGGGGACCTTTGTTTTCCCCCCCAAAAAAACCCTAAAACAACTAAAAAAAAAAACCCCAAGAAAAAAAAAAAGTTGGCAAAAACCTGCATTGGGGATAGTGTTTAAAAATCAAAACCAAACTCCCCAAAAGCCCCTCACCAACCCTGGCAGCAGTTTTTCCTGAAATTTTGCAGCCCTGCATCACAACCATCTCCCTTTGACCGGCCCTTTGTCACCAAGAGGCTTTGTTCCATCTGGGTGATGAATGCTGTGTTCCCTCTCCCTCCCCGAGCTGCTGGGTGTGGATGTGTCTGCTGTCACCCCCTCCTCGGTACAGCAAAGAAACGGCTCTTGCCTGGTTCAGGGACAGACCTGAGACCATTGAGGAGCCCAGAGCCTGGCGTGAGCTGGCAGTGTGGAGGTTGGGAAGGATGGGGATGGTGGTGAGAAGCGAGGGAGATGTGGTGGGAGAGGCAGGGAAGGATGAAAGCCGCGACAGACCCCGGCTGGGTCTCTGCCTGGGAACCCTCCTTGCTCAGGGAGCTTTTTGTTCTGAGTGATTAGTTGCTGGTTGAGCAGAGAGGTGGTTTTGTTGGGCACTAACCAACAAACCTGCGGCGATTCCTGTGCCGGAGGAGTGTGGCTCAGAGGCAGGTGGCAGCGGTGGCCCCAGCTGGAGCATCTCTTGCCCCTTGGCTTTAGTCTGAAGAGCATGTTAAGTGCAAACAGGTTTAAAGTCTGGTTGGAGTAGCTCATCTGTTCGCTTGGCGAAGGTTAAAAGATCTCCAGTGTGTTTGCATTTAATTATCTATTTTAGTGGCAGGTTTTTTTATATATTTTTTTTTCCTAGGAGATGAAATCTGGTTGGGTTTAAAGGACATTTCTCCAAGCAGAGCCTGATGCACAATAGACTGTAATGATTTATTTGGAGCTGCTATGCTTTGTCTATCCTTGTTAAGTACCCTGAGAATACGGACTGGCACTGAGGGAATTTAATGTGACACATAAAAATAAGGAGTGTTGGAGAAAGCTGTAGGCTTCACAGTATTTAACTAGCTTGGATCCTTGCTACATAACAAGCAATTTTCCTTGAATTTAAGATGACAAAAATGAGAGAACACCTATTGCCTTGCCTTGGGACTGGCACTGCCTGTGTCAGTGTCAAATAAGCAGCCTGGGAGAGCCTGAGCTGCCAGCCCTGCGCTGCTAGTTTGGGAGAGTGGCTGTGCTAAAGTGGATTAGCACCAAAAAAGCTCAACATTGGAAAATAAACATGAATAAAAATGTAAACAGGATCAGTAAGCTTGTTTAAATTTTATACCTGAAAATGGCACGTGGCTGTTGTCACAACTCATTTGGCTGCGAACCAAGGAGGGTGTAAAGAGGTGGGTGTTGAGCTCTTCTCCCAGGTAACAAGTGATGGAACAAGAGGAAATGGCCTCAAGTTGCACCAGGGGAGGTTTAGGTTGGATTTGAGGAAAAACTTCTTCACCCAAAGGGTTCTCAGGCATTGGAACAGGCTGCCTAGGGAGGTGGCGGAGTCACCATCCCTGCTGGGATTTAACAGATGGGTAGATGAGGTGCTCAGGGACATGGTTTAGAGGTGGAATTGGCAGTGTTGGGTTTATGGTTGGACTCGATAATCTTAAAGGTCTTTTCCAATCACTGTGATTCTGTTCTTGGTGTCCTGGTTGGTGTGTGAAGGGTTTGCTGTGAGCTGTGCCCTTGCTAGCATCCTCCTTGAGCCCCGATGCAGCTCTGGACCCGGCTCTTCACAGAAAATTAAGCACCAGAGCACCAGGATGGGCAGGTTGGGGGAGCAGAGCAGGTCGAGGTGTCAGGAACTGCAGGTTTCAGATACCCAAGATGTGACATTAACCTGCTGCAAGGATGTCAGTGAGTCAGTCCTTCCTGTGCTTCAGTGATGCTTTGCTCTCCAGCCTTACAGGAGAAATCCCATCACTTACTCGATCCCTCTTCTGAGCATTTAAAAAAGCCCATTAAAAGCCATCTCCCCCTAGGAGATGAATTCCTTGCACATGTGCTGCCTCCAAAGGACCTTCTAGCAACCCTGGCAGCAGAGCTGTAGCACACAAAAACGCTGATGCCAGGTAAGGTGCATGTCAGGGGAGTTCAGCTGCCTTTAATCCTTTCCCTCTTCCCCTGAGCTGAGCACTCGATCTCCTGCTGTTACAGGAATGCACGTTGAATGTGGCTCTTTGGCTTAAAATTTGTGAGCAAGAAAGGGGAGGGATGTTTTCCCTTCGTTTTGGTGGGATGCTGCTGCTAACAAGCCTGTGTGATCACTGCCTGGGACAGTGGCAGCCTCTCCACTTCACCCACGTAGCAGGTTTGCTCTCAGAGAATCACAGAATGGTGGGGTTGGAATGGACCTCAGGAGATCATCCAGTCCAACCCCCCTGCCAAAGCAGGTTCACCTCCAGCAGGTTGCACAGGTGGGTTTGAACATCTCCAGAGATGGAGACTCCACACCCTCTCTGGGCAGCCTGTCCCAGGGCTCTGACACCCTCACAGTAAAGAAGTTTTTCCTCATGTTTAAGCAGAACCTCCTGTGTTCCAGTTTGTGCCCATTGCCCCTTGTCCTGTCACTGGGCACCACTGAAGAGAGTCTGGATGCATCTTCTTGACACCCTTTAGATATTGATCAGCATTGATAAGGTCCCCTCTCAGCCTTCTCCAGGCTGAACAGCCCCAGCTCTCTCAGCCTCTCCTCATAAGAAAGATGCTCAAGGCCTCTCAATCATCTCTGTAGCCTCCACTGGCCTCTCTGTCAATGCAGCGGAGCCTGTTGCTGCTCTTGCACTAAATGGACACCTCAGAGCCTTCAACCAAGAAAAAGTGCAGTTGCTCACCACCTGCTGACCAATGCCCAGCCTGTGCCAGCCAGCGATCCCCGAGCCAAGACAGTCCCAAAACCCAAACCCTGGAAGAGCGAGAGCCCGAGCAATCCCGGAGAGAATCCCCTGTCTTCCAGTCAACCCTGGTCGATATACTGACATGACATGATTGATCTGGAATATCCCATTGGCACATCTAAATGCCAGTTTGGGGTTTTGCTAATTACTGCACTTCTCCCTCCCAGTCCTAATGCAGCTGTGAACCCACCAGCCTTGAGCTGATTAATAACATCAGTACTTTTATCAGTGTTCTTCTCATACCAAGCTTTACACTGAAACTAAAACACAGCTATTCTAACTACTGAGAAGAAAGTTATCCCAGCAAAACCTCAGGACAAGGGGGCAGAGGGAAAGGCTGTTCCTCCTCCTCCTCTGCCCTTGCAGGAGGCAGCATCGTCCCCGTGGGGATGTGTTCAGGCAGGTCAGCTGCTCAGAGAGCACTTCACTGCTTCCACGTTGAGCTGTTGCATTTAAAGCAGGTGGTCCTGAGCAAAATGTACGTGCTGAAATACTGCTGAAAGCGCGGGGTGGGAGGAATACACAGCATTTGCTGCCCTTTAAAGAGGCTACTTGGTGATCTTCCTTTGTCTTTGTCTCCTGAAGCCCTGACCGTTCAGCCCGCTGTTCCCGCATGCCCTTGCAGCAGTGAATTGCCCGACAGCCAATTTTAATTAGGTTTCTTTTATAAAACCAAAATGTGGAACAGCAAAGTGCTGTCAGCTCAGACCTTCAGCTGTGACTCTCTTGGGAGCAGCGGGAGGAAGGTCCAGGGAGGGGAGGGGAGTCCAGGCTGGAGCTGAAGCTGTCAAACAGCAGCGTGGGCTCTTCCAGCCATGGGGAGACGTGCCCGGGCGTCCTGCTGAGCTCTCCCCAGGTACGAGGGCTGTGGGCAGGGAAGGAGGTTGTGATGGAGGTTCTTCAGATGGGGGTGAAGTCAGCACACTCTGCATGCATCAGCTTTCACTCTGTGCAGGGAAGTAGGGTAGAAAATGAGCTTTAACGGAGTGGTGTGTGGCCACCAGAGCTTCTCTGCCTGGGGGACAGAGGATAAATCTGACCTTTGCCAAGTCACCTGCTCTCGTGGAAAGAAACTGAGATTTCTCGGCAGCCCTGGAGGCTGAGCTGAGCTGGATGCCCCTTCTCCAGCACTGTGTGGGGCTGGGGGATTACTTGGGCAGTGTAAGGGGCGATGTTACGCAGCAATTAAAGCGTCTGTGCGTCAGACAGGGAGGTTGCTGTGAGCAATGGTCTGAAATCCAGCGGCTGGAATAGATGCTGCAGGAGGGAGGGGATGGCAGTGCCCTGTCCCAGCAGTGCCCCTCTTGGTGCCCGAGGTCAGTACATGGGGTAGAGCTGTGATGTTTAGGAGCCTTCCTCCTCCTCGTCCTCCTGCCCTGGGGATGTGCTGGGAGGTGAGGTCAGGAGGATGCTGTTGCATTGTCTCTGTTCCCACAGCTCATGTGGCTTCTGTTGCCCTCTGCTCCCATGTCCTTCCTTCCTGTCCCCACAGGGCTGTAATGTCATGGAAGACCAGGACCTTCGGGACATCGGGATCGCTGACCCCCAGCACCGTCGGAAGCTCCTCCAGGCTGCTCGCTCCCTCCCAAAGGTCAGCGCTGACGTCCCTCGTGTGAAGCAGGGACAGGGCATCTCCCAGCATGGCTGTGAACAAAGAAGCTGAAGCTGCCAGTCCCTGTGACTTCATCCAGGTCCCTGTGACCCACGGGGGGATCGCAGGGGCTGTGGGAAGGGGTTTGGGAATAGCAGGGAGGAGGAGGAGGAGTATATTGCTCCACCAAGCAATGCGGATGGGATGACTCTGTGGTGGGGAGAGGGTGGCTGCTCCTCCTGCCAGTTTTGATCCCACGTGCATTCCCTGTTTATACAGTGATTTTTTATTTTTTTTTACTTTAAAGCTGCTGGAGGAGATGATGATGGCCTTTAAACTGATTTTGACTGATGCTGTATGCTTTGGTATCCCAGACCCCTGTGGCTTTTAACCCTTTTCTTGTGCTTTTCCAGTTGAAACCCCTGGGCTGTGATGGGAACAGCCAGCCTTCGGTTCCTGCATGGCTCGACTCTTTGGGGCTGCAGGATTATATTCAGTCCTTCCTCTCGAGTGGCTACAGCTCTATTGACACTGTGAAAAACCTCTGGGAGCTTGAAATAGTCAATGTGAGTATTGCCTTTCTCCTGGCCGTGGCAGTGAGGTCCTGCCCACGCTCCCTGCAGGGCTGTGACTTCAGGGAGTCGAGTTAAATGGGAACAGAGCTGCTGGAAGAGGAGCCAAGGGCAGGAAAACCTACAGTGACCATCATCTCTCTCTGTGCAGGTGTTGAAAGTGAATCTGCTCGGCCATCGGAAGCGGATCATCGCCTCCCTGGCAGACAGACCTTACGAGGAGCCACCGGCAAAGCCGCCGCGGTTCTCGCAGCTGAGAGTGAGTCGCTGTCTGTGTTCCCTGCCTGGCTGGTGTGTCTGTCTGAGCGCGCTCAGCAGTGGCCGAGGTGCTTTTATTCTGCCCTGGCTCTCCTTCCCCTTCCTCCCTTTCTTTCAAAGAACTAAACCCAGGTCTGTCAGGAATAATTGTCCCCTTTCTGATGAGCAGCTGTTACCTCTGGGGGACTCAGGGATGTGGGATGTGTAGAGGATGTTTACTGAGAGCTCAGGTCCTGGATGTGTGTCCAGGCTTCGAGAAGGAGGCACATTCAGCCTTACTCTGCTGCTTTCATGTGCAGGAAATTCAACCTAGCAAAATCAATAAAAAGGGGGAAAAAAATCCTTACAATGTCAATATTTAAGTTAAAACTCCTTCGAAGGCAAGTATTGAGAGTAATAAGTGTAGAGGGATCTTTGAAAATGGCATTGCTTTTTAAAATAAGGAAAGGGCAAAACCGAAATGGCTTGTTTCTTATGAAAACACATTGATTTGACCTGGACACTTGGGTTACTCCTGGTTCTCAGGTACTTGGTGGTTTGGGAAGAAAGTTCTTGAAGTGTTGAGACAACTACACATCTGGCTGTGCGGAGGAGGGAGTGTTTTGTGTTCATCAGTTCCCAGGGATGTACCTTGGCTGCTGCTGGAGATGGTGCAGAGCCCAATACTCCCACTCCAAGTGTGGTCAAGCAGAACTTGGGAAGTGCAGCAGCCAGGCTGGCTCTGACTTGGCCAGAGCACCTGGAGCTCTTGGCCAAGAATAAACAAAAATAATCACAGATTTGATGTTGTGATGTACGAATTCTCCTATGGCTGGGCCCCACAACAGCAAACATCACTGGATGTTTGGGCAGACGTGCTCTAGCTGAAGTGGTGGATGAGTTTACCAACTCTTGGCTTTCTTCTTTGTGGGTCAGACTCCACCTTCCTTGTGCAGAACCAAGCTGAAGTGTGTGAACACATCAGTACTGGGAGAAATCTTAATGTGGCCAGTTGGATCCATTCAGCTTTTCATCTTAACTCCAGCGACCCAAGCAGCAAATACTCACACAAGCATGACCCTGCTATTGACATGAGTGGGGGAAGATAATATTCAGCCCTTGCAGGTCAGATTCTGGATGCCGGCCCCATGGGAAGTGTCAGGCAGCTCCTTCAGATCAAAGAGCTTCCGTGCAAGCTGGGTGCCTGCACTGAACAGGTAGCAGGGTGCTACTCCCACCTCTGTGCCCTGCACTGGAGGGGAGGACTGAGCTGATGTTCTTCCCCTGGTTTCCTGGCCAGACATCAGGCAGCGTTCCTGCAGGCAGGAGTGTGACATGGCTCAGCTGGTGAGATGGGATGCAGCTGGGACCTCTGTTTTGATTGCGCCCTTTGGGAGTCTGTGATCTGTCTCCCTGGGCTGGCTGGGCTTCTCTAGAGCTCTTGCTGCCAAATAGCACTCGATGTGATTTGTGGATGTTGATTTTTTTTTTTGCTGTGAGTGTGGCAGCCTTTGGATGTCAGGCCCTTCGTTATCAGGGTTGGCTGGGAGGGGAGTCATTGTCTTCACTGTTCTTCCTGAAAACCGACGTTTGAGAGCTGAGTTTGGCAAAACCCGTTGAGCTTGCGGTGAACCTGTGAGCAAGAGTGTCGTGCTGCTTCCTCCCAGTGTTTGCAAATCAGCTTCCTGGAGCAGGAATTGGGAGTGATTGGAGTTTCCTCATCCCAAACATCTGGTCCTTGCCCTGCTGCAGAACTCTTCCCTCTTGCCTTGGATTCCCGAGGCTTTTCAACCAGAATGGTCTTAGCTGAAGTGAGTTGGGCTGCTCACGCTGGGTTTTTTAGGAACTGGGGTTCAGGTGTAAAAAAAGAGAAGGTTCACACTGGTGCTGCACAGGGTGCCAGGTACAAACCCTGCACCTTTGCCCCGCTGCTCAACCACCCCTTTTTCAGGCATCAAAAGCTGGGACAGGCAGCAGCCAGCTGAGGATCTGCTCTTCTCTGACACATCCTCTTGAGATGGATGAGACTGCAGGCAGGGTTGTTGAGGGATGGAAGAGGAGTCCTTTGGTGCAGCAGCATCAACTGATTGATATGCTGGACGGGGATGAGCCTGTGGAAGAGAATGGGCCATTTGCAGCATTTCCTGGTGCTACAGCTGGTGCGATCCAGCGCCTGGCTCGGGCGTGGGGAGCGGAAGGACGTCAATGGCAAATTAAACAAGTCCATTGAATGGGACTAATCCGTGTTGCAGCTGTGAGCTTCCCGCGGTGTCTGCCGGGCCGGTTGGCACGTACAGGCAGCGGATCTTGCCTGCAGTAAGAGCCAGGCTGTCAGGCATCTGGGCTGATCTCTCGCTGGGCAACCAGGGCTTTTCTCCTGGGGTGGCTGCTCGTCAGCAGCTTTGAGCACTTTGCTCAGTGCTTTAGCGGAGCCTGTTCCTCTATAAACACCCTGCCCACAGCTCAGCGTGTCTCCTGCCCTCCTGGGATGAGCTTTTCCTGGAGAAAAGGAGGCTGAGGGGAGACCTTCTTGCACTCTACAACTCCCTGAAAGGAGGGTGGAGAGAGGTGGGGGTGGGTCTGTTCGACCAAGGGACAGGACAAGAGGAAATGGGCTCCAGTTGTGGCCAGGGCAGTTGAGATGGGATGTGAGGAAGAATTTCTTTGCTGAAAGGGTTCTGAGGCATTGGAAGGGGTTGCCCAGGGCAGTGGTGGAGTCCCCATCCCTGGAGGGAGTGAAGAGTCGTGTAGACACAGTGCTGAGGGACATGGGTTAGTACTTGTCAGTGTTGGGTTCATGGTTGGACTCAATGAGCTTAAAGGGCTTTTCCAACCGAGGCAATTCTGGGATTCTGTGAGCTCATGGGAGGTGTGCTCAGCAGAAGGGGCTGCATCCCTGTCTGAAATCATCCTGGAGCAAATCACGGGTCTGATGTGGAAAATAAATGGTGGGATGGATGCCCCTGAGGCAGGAGGAGGAGCTGACCCTGTTAACTCTGCTCATTGCAGAGTGTCAGACACTAAAAGGGGAGCGCGGGGTGGGCACGGCCACAGCACAGGCTGACCAGGGTGGTTTGTGGTGTCTCTTTGTTTCAGTGCCAGGACTTGATGTCCCAGACATCATCGCCCCTGAGCCAGAACGATTCCTGCACAGGCAGATCTGCCGATCTCCTGCTGCCCTCCGGGGACACTGGGAAGAGGCAACACGACCGTGGGACTGAGGTTGCTCCCTACTCCAGAGCTGAGCGCTACAAAGCACAGGTCAGTGGGTGCTTCTGTGTGTCCTGGGGGGGTCCCTCTGCTCAGTTCAGTGCAGACCCTCCCATCTCTGGAGCCAGTGAGGAGTTAGGATGATGCAGGGAGAGCCAGAGAGCCGGTCAGGCACAGCTTCCCTTGAAGCTTTCCTTCCACAGCTTTACCTCTCCTATGAGAAAGGCTGAGAGAGTTGGAGTTGTCCAGCCTGGAGAAGAGAAGGCTCCAGGGAGACCTTATTGCACCTTTCAAGACTTGAAGGGGCCTATGAGAAAGCTGGGGACAAACTTATTAGCAGGGCCTGTAGCGCTAGGACGAGGGGTGATGGTTTTAAACTAAAAGAGGGAGATTTAGACTGGATGTGAGGAAGAAAATTTTTACTATGAGGGTGGTGAAACCCTGGCCCAGGTTGCCCAGAGGTGGTAGAAGCCCCATATCTGGAAACATTCAAGGTCAGGTTGGACGGGGCTCTGAGCAACGTGCTCTGGTTGAAGATGTCCCTGTCACTGCAGGGGGTTGGACTAGAGACCCTGAAAGGTCCCTTCAACCCAAACCAGTCTGTGGGATTCCCTCAAGCACTAGAGCCAGCAGCTCATTTATGCCTCAATCTCACCTTGAAAACACGTGACTCACACTTCCATGAGCACTGACACCTCCAGCTGCTGCCTCCTCCCAACCCCTGTGGCATTTGGCCATTGTGAACCTCAATTGCATCAACCCAAAGAACCCTCCTGGGATCTGTGTTTCAATCCAGATTTTCCCTGTCGTGGCTTCACGTCCATGTTTCTTCCCTTCCAGGAGGACCGTCGGGAGTCAAAGCTGACCCTGCGCCCCCCCAGCTTGGCTGCCCCATATGCCCCAGTCCAAAACTGGCAGCACCAGCCAGAGAAGCTCATCTTCGAGTCCTGCGGGTACGAGGCCAACGTAAGTGGCTTTTGGCTTGTGGAGGTGGCGAGGATGAGGAGGTTTCTGGGGTCAGGTTGTTGTGTGTGGAGTTGTCACACTTCCTCCTCCTTCTCCTTCTCCCTGGGTGACCTGTCCCTCTCCAGCCAGGGCTGTGGGTCCGTGGCACTGCCTCGGGGTTGGCAGGTTGACTGTTAACATCTCTCCCTCTTCCAAACAGTACTTGGGCTCCATGTTGATCAAAGACCTTCGAGGGACAGAGTCTACGCAGGACGCCTGTGCCAAGATGAGGGTACGGAGGCCACGGGGACAGGGGGGATTCACTCACAACCGGTGCTGGGTGATGTGGAGAGGGGAATGGGGGGGTGTCAGTGAAGCTTTGGTTCCCCAAACCCTGCAGAGTGTCCCTGGGCAGAGCAGAGGCCCAGAGCACCTGACGGGCTGTGCTGCTGGTGAGCTGCCCCTCCCCAGTGCTTTTCCCCATGGTTGGAAGGTCTGTGTGCTGGGAGAAGGGAAGTTCTCACTGGGGAAAGGGGTAACGGGTTTGCTTCAGATCCTCCTCCCTTCCCCTCTGCTCCTAGCAGGAGCAGGATTTCCTCCTCCTAGTCCAAGACCCCCAAGACCTGTCTTTGTGAGGTGGTGGGCTGGGGAGGTGCTGAGGAAGGGAACATTTATTCACAACTGGTCACTTCCATGTTTTAATTTCTGAAGAAATCCACAGAGCATATGAAGAAGATCCCGACCATAATACTGTCCATCACGTACAAAGGAGTGAAGTTCATTGATGCCTCTAACAAGGTGAGCTTCAGGTGCCTTGAAAGTGGTGTCTGGAGGGACAAGACCTGCCTGGGGGGCTGCAGGTCATATCTAGTGGCTCCAGAAGCCACGGCTGATCTGGAGGAGCCCAGAAGAGCTCCAAGGTGTGGTGATGGTTATCTGAAAGCCAAGGCTTGGCAGACTGGCTGCTCATGGACCATGTTGCCATTTATTCCTGCCATGGGAGGGAGCTGGGACTGGTCTGACTGGGAGACCCCCCCTCCCCACCAGTACCTGTTTTGCTCCCAGCTCCCAGCACATGCTTGCTGTGACCACTGTTTGCCGGGTGCATTTGCCATCCCCAGAAGGGTGACGGGTGCTTGTGGTTGGCTCTCTGGCAGAATGTCATTGCTGAGCACGAGATCCGGAACATCTCCTGTGCTGCTCAGGACCCTGAGGATCTCTGCACGTTTGCCTACATCACCAAGGACCTGCAGACCAGCCACCACTACTGCCACGTCTTCAGCACCGTGGATGTGGTGAGTGGGTTATCACATCTCATCTCTCAGCACACTGCAGTCCTTTGCAGTCGCTTATTTCATCGCTCAGCTTTATTGGTGACTCATAGAACAGGGGCTGATCTGGTCCTGTCTAGGGCTCTTTCACCTGTTTCTGTCCTAAAATACTCCTTTTGGAGCTCTGGCTCAAAATGTTTTTACTTTGGAGCTCTGTTGACAAAGAGAATATTTGTCTGGCTTTGTTACTCCAGTCTCCAGTGCTGAATACAGCAAGGCAGGAGTTTTTTTTCCCTCCTGGGGAATATACCGTGACCAGAACCCTCGTGCACTCTCAATTATGCTGAGTGTAACGTGCTGATTTACCAGCCTTTTAATTCACCGAGTGTGGAAGCGGAACTTGCTTTTATTCTTGGGCAGAATCAGCTGTACAGGACGTTTGGGCTTTTTCTCTTTCCAATGCAAAACGCTGCTAAACTGCGATGCTTCCGGGGCTGTATCGGGCTCGCAGGTGGTCCCACCAGCCAGGGCTGTGTGAGTGTGGAGGTGGCCTGGTGCCAGCTCCCCTGCGGGGCAGGAGCTCAGCAGCTTTGACAGGGATGCGGCAGGATGTGACCTGCTAAGAGAAAGGTGACAGGCTCTGCCGAGGTCTGTGTGTCATAGAATCCCAGACTGGTTTGGGTTGGAAGGGACCTTCAAGCTCATCCAGTCCCAACCCCCCT